TTAAATGTTTTCCACGTCCTTTAATTTGTATTGTGTGAGATAACTCAAGCTCAAAACTGAAGGACAATTAATATAAACAGAAAACCTCACCGAAAAGTTACAAAACTAAGATCACCTGGACTATCTAATCGGGCTTTGAACAACCCGGTCAAAGTCTACAAATTTACAACCTAGATAAAGCCTTTGCAGCCAGGATCAGGTGACAAAATTTGAGCTAAAAGATTTTTATATTATGGGCCATAACTTAAAAAATGCCAGAAATGGAAAGAAAATATCGAAAAAGCATAATGGCCAAGTTTGAGGCCCGCGCCCCTGGCATTAAAGATTAAGTTTTATACGACAGTTGGAGTTTTAGGAAAGTTTAGCTACAGGATATGTTGCAGAGAAGGTCTTGCTCTCCAACATTTTTTTTTTTTCATACGAATCTTCTTAATTTTTTGAAAATTCACTGAAACCGTCATAAAATTTCATGCTATAATGCCAGGGGCGTCAAACTGGGCCATTATGATATTTTCGACATGCTTTTTCCATCTCTGGCACTCTTTAAGTTATAGCCCACAACATTCTAAAAAAAAGTGTCAAGGGCCTGTTTAGGGAGACTTCGCAAAAAGTCTCAAAATTATACTCTACTCTAGAAATACGCCAGATTTAAAGTAGAAAATAACTAATTTCATAAACTTGTTTTTGAAAAGTTAGTTCTTTTTTCGTTGACTTGCGAAAAACTGAACACAAAGCAAAGTTTATCGTGTGTTCGAAACTTTATGCCCATTTCTAGGAGACGTCTCGAATATGAGACAGAAGCCCTGCATGAAATCACAACCCCGTTGAGCGACACATACAGACATAATTTATTGAAGAGAAAAACAAAAACTAAGAATGGCGTGGACGGTTCAACTTTATTTCGTTTCTGTAACATTGGAAGTTTCCGAATAGTTGAGTTCTAACAGATCATTTGCTTTTCGTTTAGCTCGGCATTTACGCACTTCAATTTTAGCCGACACAATTTAGGTACCCTTTAAAAGATCACACCGAGAACAAAATGCCAACAGGAGCAAAAATGACACCCATATTTAAGGATCGAGAACCTCAAACACCCTGCTCTATCCCACAGCACATAGCCATATAGCCCAGGTATGGAAGTAGCCACC